AAATTCGTTCTAGTAATTTCACAGTGAAATATTCTCAGTGGCTGATACTTTTTCACTTTTCTTCTAACCATCCACATGACTGATACTTTTTCACAATTTTATATTGTTGATTAACTGTAATTCTACTTTTTTCTTTTTGCTGCGTCTGAGGAAAGTTTTAATAAAAGTACCGTTACAAGACATGTAGCATTCAGTGACGCAAAACCAGTCTGTATCCAAAATTGTGCGTCTACCCGCTTTGAGGCGCTGCTTGATCCACTGACAGTGAGAAGTGGAATTCGGTGTTTTATCTGAGAGCATGAATAGAAGTCTGAAGTTCGGAGGGGATTTTCGAGAGTGGACATAAGGTTGAAAGTTCTGCAAAATTGGACCGGTCAAATGCTGCTAAATAAAAGCAGCCCAGGCTGGAACGCATCGGGTTTACCAGTGCGAACATGAGCTTTTGCACTGAATTTGAATAAGATCGTTAACTGTATGTATGGTTCTTGCCTTACATTTACCGTCTCTACTCATTAACGCAAATCATCGTTAATTTTACATAAGGGAAAACGAACAATTTTCGTTAAATAGTCTTTGTTTGAAAATGACCTAACTGTAAAATAATTTTACCTCCAAAACTTTCACATCCCCGTACGTGAAAACCACACATGTGACTGAATTTGAAATATTTAAGTCGTACTTGGAAAGGGGAGACCCCCCTGAAATAACAGCTTCCAGCTTTTTTGACTCTCGATTTAGCAATTTTTTTGCCAAAACTTTCATGTGCTCATAAGCGAAGCTCAGATGTGCATTAGGATTGGCACTGCATTCCTAGGGTGGCATTTGGCTGGGGAGCTGACAAAATTTCGACGTCGAAGCTTGCTTAATTGCGACTTGAAATACCCAAACAGACGCACGCAAACACACACGTACACGTGCACACAAACATGCGCACACAAGCATACGCACACACGCGCACATAACATAGGGCGTCATAATATGCGCCTCTGCATGCAAGAACGCATAATAACTAGTACGAAATACCGTTTCGATGCAGCAGGAATCATTGGCGACGCGCACTGGACAGGCCCGTACGATCATGCGTTTTTGCAGTGTTTCGTGCTGTAATGGGATCACTCGAAATTCCGGTAGCCAGAAACCTCTGACATACTGGCCCTCGAATTTCGGAAGGTTAATTGTCCGCGCTATACTTGGACAGTTAACACTCTCTTGAAACCCCAGTTTCCCAGCTTTCCCAGTTCCCCAGTTACTCAAATTCCAACCAGAAACTTCACAGAGCCGTAAGTGGCAATCACACATGATTGGGGACTAGATTTGATAAATTTAAGTTGTAGATGAGCTAAGACCATTTCCTGAAAATTTCAGCCTCCCAGCTTCCCTGGTCCCGGAGTTGGCCATTTTCCCGCCAAAAATTTTCACGGGGCCGTACGTAATAACCACGCATAACGGGGGCTGAATTTGATAAATTTGAGTTGTAGATGAGTTGAGAACACTTCCTGAAAGTTTCAGCCCCCACCCCTCAGTTTTTTTGGTTCCCGAACTAGCGATTTTCGCGTCAGGAACCCCCACGTGGCCACACGCGGGAAACGCTAATATGGTGTAAAAACTTAGCAAAACAGTGTTTTAATAATTAAAGTTCAAGTGCGCTCATTGCGAAAAACACATTTTCCACCTGAATGGTAACACTCTGCAGCTCAGCAGCGACTTGAAGTACCAAATAATTGTGACCAAAAATGTCAAAAAGAAAAAACAACATAGCATAAATAAAAAGACAGTTTCAAATTTTTTTAAAAGTTCAGCTCGAATGATTCTGTGCTATGACCCGAAGCACTGAACAGGACTGACGACCCTGATCACCGGTATTAAGATCGCAGAAATCCAACCATTCTGACAAGCTGGCACTTTCGAATTCAATCTGCCTGTTCTAAATAACTGACTACATGTCGTACAGCCTTACACATATCATTAGTTATAAAGCAACCACACCGGAAAGCCAGCGCTCACAAATATGATTTTAAACCTGAAAACTGATGATCTGCTTTAAACAACATACGGAAACTCGGCATTTCGATGAAACACAATAAAAGTCCAGCAGTATGTCCAGCAAGCGGGAAAGGGGTGAAAGGCGAACACCGGAAGCTTTGTTCAGCTAAACAGCCAACGGCCCCAAAACCAGCATATGTGTGCTAGCAACCAGCATCGGCGAAAGAAAACAGATTTAGAAAAAAGCACAAAAAATTACTGTGAAAACCCGCAAGACCGTTTATAAGCAGAAATAACTGTATTATTTCCATCCTCATCCAGTATCTAGTTTCGTAAGCCAATTCATCCAACATACCTCTCGAATTCTGTAGTATTACCTCCTCAGCCCACTGCCGCCAGCTCTAAACGAAAACAGAAAACAATGAATCCTATCATACATAAAAAATACATTTGTCAAGAACGATAACACAAATCATAAGAAACTGATGGAAAGGGGAGAGAAGGGGAGGAGGGGGAAAAGGCGGGTGGGGCGAACCGGGGCAGGGAGGGGTGCTGCGAGTCAAGCACCTTCCAGGCCATATGCAGCGTTAAAAAGCGCACTGGTGCAGAGCAAACATATAAGATGTAAAGAAGCAGCTTTTCATTAATTCAGTAAAATTCAGCAGATTGATCGCTCGCAAACAGCTCTAATTTTATCCACTCAGCATGAAAATGTGCAAAACTGACGAGAAGGCCGAAATAAGATGGCGAGGAGGGATACAGGAATGGAAATACTGCTTTCACAACTGTAAATTAAAACTGGACACAACGATAAGACAAAAAAAAATATGTATATTTATCGCATTATACAGCAGTTGCCAACAAAGAGCTATATTATAGCGCAGGCACCAAATTCCCTCTATTTTTACGCAACTGCTATCACTTCTTTTTTTTCGCGCCCCCTGCAGCATTGACCGCTAGGGGCTGGCCCATATCTTTACCACGAAGCTTCACACCAAGCGCGCGCTCCATTTTGGCCAAAATCTAAAACAGACATGAACAATGAAATATCTAATTTGTTCACCTTAAGCCAGTGGGTTCTTTGAGACGCTAAAGTATAAGCAATTATAATTTGTTTATGCGAAGTGTGAAAAGTTCACAGAAAAAGCGAATTTTACCGGTACAGTATTGCGGGCCAAAAAAAAAAAAAAACGCATATGAGGAAAAATACCTGCTGGTTCGGGACGGCTTTGCCATTTTCATATTCAGCGACCACTTGTGGCTTCTCATTGATACGCTACAAACCCCCCTGATTAGAAGCAAATTAGCATTTTACAAATGTTAATAAAAAGCCACTTTATCCATCCTACCCCTCTGTTTCGTGCCTTAAAAAATTGCCCACCGTGGCCAGCTCCTTTTGGGTCCACTCCTTGGCCTGTCGGGCCTGCTGCATCACTTTACCAAGTGTCAGCGAAACACGCTCATGATGTAGTTCTTCAGTCTCTTCATCCAATCTACAAAAGAAGGCAGTGCATTCGGTGGCATCGTATTTTTTTTTTTTAATTCATATAATGACTGCTGAGAGCTGAGAGAGCCAACTTCAGGACTGTACTCGTCGCAGAAAAAAAAAAAAAAA